TTGTGATCCTTTCTTTTTAAAATAAAAATAGTTTAAACTAAATTTTTAATCAAAATATTACTTTGTAGCATTATAAGTTTAACACCTCCCTCCCACTACTGCGTTTGTTTTTATTTTCGGTATTTGGAAAATGTGTAAAGAAGGCGTGATGAACGCTAAATCGTCGTGAGCATGTCGCAGTGAACGTTCACGCAATGTGATGATAATTAATTTCAAGTCAAATTTAATCAATCAGATAATTACAGTTTTTTTTTTTTTTTTTTTTTTATGAAAATATGTATGGATTCGGCTGTAATAGAACCGGCTTCGAACTCTCGAGTTCCTTTGATCTTAGGTATGCATAAATTATATGATGTCATCTTTTTATCGGCTTATTTAAATTATTATCATTAATTTTCATTTTCTTAAATATTTTAGAATGTTATTAATCCAAGACAATATAATTTTAAAATAATTTATTTTCTTTTATTGGATTATAAAAACAGTGTTAATAAAACTTTTAATGACAATATAAATTGATCAGGCAAAAGAAAATAATTAACAAATTGAATCTGACATTTTGCAGAATTATTCAGATGGTAAAATACTTTTTATATTAATTAATAGCTAAATTATTCCAATAGCAGTGTAACTGATCGCTTTAGAGTTTTTCTTTTACAAATAAAAACATTAATTTTATCTTTAGCATTGGAAAGATAATCCTTCATCTTTTTAATTTTGATATAAATGTATAATTCGTATAAACAAGTATATATATTATATTTAAAAGAATAATTTTAAGTGATTGCTTTGCTAAAACTCTTTATTTTATTTTAAATCGAGTTGCATTTAAACCAATGAATCGAAATTATCTCAGATTAAGATCGCTCTTGTAATTTTGAATTTTAATATGTTATAATTTAGTAATATATTATAAGTTCAGTACCGCTGTATATTAACCGTTATTTAGCAGGTGTTTATTGTGGCTGGTTATATAATAAATATTAAAAAAAAAAGGAAAACCATTGACTAAAAATAAACATTCGATATCGTGTGTGAATTCTCAAATTTCTATAATTTGTTTGAAATAACATTCCGAATTTCAATTCAATTAATAATTGACATTATTCAAGGGAAAACTGGTCGTTTTTTTACATTAAATGACTTGTTTTGTAAAGCTTTAATCATTATACAAATAGACAAAGCCAAACTATTCAGTCCATTTTTCTCCTCAGTTTGTTTAGTAGGTATGGACGAGCTTTATTTTTATCAATAAAAACAAAAAAGGAAATATAATGAAAAGGAAGGAAACATATAAATGTCAGTTTGTACAAAACTTAATCTCCAAAAATTCTTCACTGATTGCTTCGAAATTTTTTTAAAACGTTTCAATCCAATTCAGAAGTGATTTTATACACATTTCATTACCATCCCTCCTTTCGTTGCGAAATGGCGGCCGAAAAACTTGAGTCGCTATAGATTATAACGATACGGCTGAAACTTTTTTATAAGACTTGGCTAATAAACTTGAATCCCCTTTAATTTATGCATGCAACATACTTCCCCCCCCAAAAAAAAAGCTTCGAAGGATTCAGAATTTTATTCACGTATAATTCAAAAATACACTATTTTTGGTTCATCAAACTTATGATTGTTTGAAAGCTTCCGGAATTCCCTACAAAAAAAAAAAAAAAAAAAAAAAAAAAAAAAAAAAAAAAAAAAAAAAAAAATGATCGAAATCGAAGAATAAGTTCAATGTTGAAATGAAACAATTTGTACCGACAGATGGAGCAAAGTGGGTTCAAATGTTTTTTTAAGGATAAACCAAATAAAGATTTAGATTTCGCACCTGGGAAAACCCTTAAATACCAATTTTCTTAGCAATAGAAAATAAAAATATTTTACCTCAAATTTTCACCGAATGAGCAAAGTGGATTCAAATATTTTTTTTTTTTTTAAATTAAGGATGGACTAGTATTTTTATTTGCCAATAACTCAAACGGTACACACATGGTACCGCACAGTTTTCTTTTATAAGTACACTTAAAAGTGAATGTAGAATATATTAGAGTGAAAAAAATGTTAGAAACACACAAATTCGTTTATGTTTTTCTCTAATGTTCTATAATGATGATGGTCGAATTTTGACCACATGGAGAAGAGTAGTTTCTATAAAGACTCCGATACTTATCAATACCTACAGAAGAATTGAAGTGTGCCTTGAACCCTAGAAATCGGTTACATAACTTCTGAAACCTTACACGAGTATAGCTCAGCTGAAACTTATCTAAGATTGTTTACTTTTCGTAATTTCTTTCCCACGAAAAACTAACTATTGCAAACTTCCGGGATTTCAATTATATGATCTGTTAAACCCCTCGACATTGCCAAAGAATGACAAGCATGAAAAGAACGCGATAATGACATAATGTTGCGCATATATCACCAGTAAGTGATCCCATTAAATCGAGATTCTCCCTCCCCTGGGATAAATAAAACAGCCGAATCATATGTTCCACTTGATATACAGTTTTTAATACTAAGTACCCTGTTGACAGACAATCTTGACACTAATGTAGGCAATAGAGAAGCTCGGAAAACAAACAAGAAGTGTCGGATGGTAGCCTATATTCAGCGATACTAAACATGACAAAGTTATTATTGGATACAAATATTCACGTGTCTTGAATTTCTGGAAGATAAGTAGTATACTATAGGAATTCCTGTAAGTTGCTCCAGAATGGCAATTGTGTGGGAGATGTGTTTCTGTGTGGGTGATTTGTCCTGGCAAGCTTCGAATTCTTGATTTTTTTTAAACTAGTTTTATTTATTTTTAACTCTTTTTATACACTCCTCTTTGTTCAGTCAAGGGGGAATGTCACTTTTATTTTATAAACAAGACCATTCCCTTTGTTTATTTTCTGATATTACAAATAGAATATCTTTCCATTATACCGATGAATCACAGGACTGTCTAGTTATGTATTAGTTAATGCGGAATGTTTGTGTTTTTTTTTTTATTTCAATACTATTTCGTGAGCTTATTTAATTTCGAAAACATTAATCAATGTAAGCAAAGTATGCATACTAGTGTTGCCCAAATGCGAGACCAAGACGAGTCTTGGTCTTGCAAACTCAGTCTTGGTCGTGGTCTTGGTCTTGCGCAAGAGTCTCGCAACAGTCTTGCAGTTACTTATGAGCTTATTACTATAGAGATATTACAGTAATTTTGAGGAGTTGAATGCAAAAGGATATTGTTTACACCATTTATTAACATATAGCAACTAAGATTGTCAAGTATAAGTAACTATATTGCCTTAATTTTTATTTAAAAAATCCATTTTTTTTACCAGTCTTGGTCTTGGTCTTGCAACAGTTAGGCGGCCTTGGTCTTGCACTTTGCAACCAAGTGCTTCTCCATCCCCCCTATGCACGAATAAAAAAACAGATACAACCGATAACAGTTAGTAAACTAACTGTTAGCTGTTCACAATTACACTTCTATATACAAAATTATTTAACTTTAATTTCATTACATAATTTTAATAATATTTCTTATTCTGAACTCATTTATCTCTTATTGAAAAAAATAATTTGGATTTACGCTTCTAAGGCCAGTACCTTCCCATAATCAAGTGTGTGTATCTTTGCTCATGGTTAGGTTACCTCAGAAGGGTTTTAAAACTGAAGAAATATGGTATATTCTTCAAGTCCAATAAGTTAAGTAACTACTGATATATAAAAAATTATTAAATGTATTATATGTTATTCTATATATATTTTACACTATTAGGGAAACTTGGAGAAATCTTGTCAAAAAATACGTCTTTTCTTTTTTTTTTTTTTTTTTTTTATGTTCATTAAATTTACTTTATTAATGTTGCAACTATACTACAATGGTTTATATAATTATTGAGAAAATATAATTTTTTTCCCTTATAATACGTTCACACCGTAGTAGTTATATGTTGTTTATTTAAAAAAAAAACAATATTATTTACAACACAATATATATCTGGAAGGTAAAAATAGGTAGGCATTTAATAGATGATGGCCGTGTAAAATTAAAAAATGGGGTATAAAAGTCCGAATACTTTTAATAAATTGTCATTTTTTTATTTCATATATTAAAATATATATATAAAAAAAGGTTAAAATATATAATTACAAAGGTTAAAGGTTAAAATATATAATTACAAAGGTTAAAGGTTAAAATATATAATTATATTATGGTTAACATTTACTTTTGGGGCGGTTTGCCAATATAATTTGTAGGACAAGTGCCTTGCATCCAAGTTATTTTCGACTGATTATTTTGCTTTTCCGGTTGATCATTACCTAGCGGCTGTTGTTTGTTGATAACTATATCCTTAAACACAGATTTGTATTTTCCTGCTGTAATTCAATTCCTAATTCTGTAACTCCTTGCCAACTCTTCGCCTGCTTCCTTGGTCTTTTTTCCTGATATATTATAAAAAATATAAATATTAAAAAAAAAGATTAATTTATTTTCCTTTTATTTAGAATCCACACTTGTCAAATACAATTATTAGCACTCAGCATGGGGGGTTGGCGTAGTAATCAAATGATAAAGAAAGAACAAGAAAGACGGAAAGAAACAATAAATAAAATTAATTGTTATAATTTTTCTATCTTATAACATAGTTTCGATTTGCTTTAAAATTTCGTAATTTTGACATTCGATACTATACAGAAGAAATAAGAGGAATATCTAAGATTAAAAAAACAATTTTGTCTGCAGATTATTGAAATATTAAAGTCCATTCTGACTTGTTGACTTAAGTTTAGACTTAAGAAAATGGCTCGACGAGCCGAAACGTCGTAATTGAGATGTTGTAGTCATTAAGTTGACCACATTAAAAATTGGCTGAAAATAAATAAACTGGAAGTAAATTAAGTTCTTCTAAACTACAACACATACAGTTTTTCTTGTAATGTTTTATTTAAATTACTATTTAAAAGTTTACCTCATTTGATTAAATGGAATTCTTGTTTTCCAGATGAACGTGAGCCAAGAGGAATACACGAAGACGTTCAATGTTTACGTAAAGAGAATGAGAGAGAAAGACTATTCCAGTTCCTATGAAAAAAACTATTTCCTCACCTTCACACATTCCGGTAAGAATTTTAAAAGTATTTAATAAAAATATTTATAGGCTTGGAATTAATTTTAAAAATAGTTATAGTCAAATTTAATTATAATAGTTGATAAGGTCGGTCTGAATATCCCCAAGGTTTGAAATCGATACTTAAAATGATCAAATCTGATCAACATTTTTAAAAATCATTTGGTGATTTTTATTAAGAGCGATTTTTTTTTTTCGATCATACCCCAATCATTATTTTTGAACAAAATTTTTACAATTAAGAATAATAATAATTCTTGAGTAATATTTTTTAAAATCAGAAATATAAATTGTTTGTAATCTCTATGATATATCTTGAGTCTGGAGTAGTTTTTTTGTTAATTGGGAACTATTAACAACAGAATATCTTTATATTCTAAATTCATTAGGAATTTTGTCTGAAAAAAAAAAAATATATATATATATATAATATATATTGTGCAGGTATCGCGTGCACAAATAAAGCGATATTGTTACTTTTTTTTCAAATGTAATATTAAAAAATGTTTACATTAATAACGTATACATACGTATCAATATTTAATTTGATTTGTAAATAAAAGGTGATTTTTATTTTTGCTATCACAATTTAATCACTATTATTTATGAAAAAATCGTATCACTGCGTGAGTGATCATTATTTTTAAACGAATCAATAAACATCAAAGATCGATTTGAAATTTTATTTATAAATCAAGTATGATTTTAAAATTAAAAATCAAATATCATAATTATTACATGATTTTGTGGAAAAAATAATTATCGATTTCAAACCCTTTCCTTATAAATACTTATCTATCACACAATTTTTCTTATAATAGAACTTATTAGGAACTTTTGAACGGCGCACAGTGGAAGTTAGTTTTTGTTTTGTTTTTTACTTCTACTCCTTTCAATAATGCCCTTTGTATAAAAATCAGAAAAAGTACGTGTAATAGTAGTACAACGTTAAAAAATGCTCAAACTTGCAACTTTTCCAAAAACTGCATTTCAAGAGAAGATATTTTCCATTTTAACACTACTGTGCAGCCGAAGGTTCTTGGTTTGAGACATATACCTATCCCTGAAATGAATAGCTGACATTTGTCAAGAGATAAATTTGACAGTTTGGACTTTGACGATGTCCTAAAAATATAGTAATTGCGCCCTAGGATCGTCAAGAATTGTTTTAGAATCATGCATAGGCTCCAAGTATAGTAATTTATTTATATTTTTAAAAAGTACTAAAAGTACTCCTAAATGCTGTTTTGGTCGGTATTTTCTTTATACCTCTGTACCTTATAATTCTACGTTAACATATTACGTTATCGTATAATTTCAAACGTGTAGGACTTATTTGTGTTCATTTATTATTATGCCATTAAAGAAGAAACATTATTATACCTAAGTACACCTATTTCACATTTTAAACTAGTTTTGGTAATTATACGATATTTAATAACAGTTTAAATAACTATAGAGCTGAGGGCCATTATGACAGAAGGAGGTACCAGCATGACATTGATGATACCTTCCTGCCCTATTTTTTCTGTTTGTGATTTTATATTTCACTTCCTATGATGGTTTTAAAATTGATGACTGAACCCTTTTCTAAAAATATTGAATCTGGACATGGATATTCTGTTTATGTGAATTCCAATTAATCCCTTTTTTTCACGTCTAATGCTAAAATCGTTTATTATATGATTTTGGGTCGCCGTTACAATATTTTTTTTTTTATCTTAATGATATTTGAAACTGTAATAATAAATACATCTAGTAAATTTGAACATATGGAATAATGACATGAAGACACTTGCTGAGTAACTACCCAATGGTTGCACTCTAATGATATGTCTACATTAGGAGATCACGGGCCATCTTCTTTTCAGACGCCTTGGAGGGTTATCAGGAATTGAAGAGGAAGCAAGGTTATTAGGTGATTCTGAAGTTTATTATGGATAGGTATCTGGATTGGGTCAGATCTGAAACAAAAGAAACATTAAGGTCATTATGGATGGTTTTATTTTAACAAAGTAGGGAGCATTGAGGATTTTACGAAGGATTTTGGATTGTAACGATTGGATAGGAGAGGAATTAAAAGGTTTAGTGGAGCCCCATAGCTCAACTCCGTAAGTCCAAATAGGCCTTATTATGGTCATGTATATCAGTCTTTTGTAATTAATTGGAAGTTTAGAGCGTTTGTCTAAATAGTGCTGAAGTAATCGGAAACGTCGAGCGGTTTCTTGTCGTTTCGGTCTTGTATGAGGCCGTTACAATTAGATTAGAGATATGCTTAGCAGTTTATGAAAACTGTGCAGCGCAAGTTTACTAAAAAATATTAAAACGTCGGATATTTCATTGCCACCCATCCAGTATTTTTCTAGACCTATTATTTGCCATTGGCACTAGTCCCGCTGAACCCATCATGGTATGCGTATTGTCCCGCATTCTGTACAGTTGATGAAGAATAAGTCTCTTTTTTCATGAACATTAAACGCAATAAGATATAGAACCAGTCCGCCATAGTGTCCCTTCATCTTTTCCTACATCGAACGCATTTATTGCAATGTGTCCTCGCTCATGAACCAGAAGTGGACAGATATTCGCATCCGTAGTTGTTTCGATTTGTTAATATCGGACGGAATTCCTTATTATCCTGAATACAGTTATAAACCATATTATAATCCGTTTATAGATAAAATAATATAAAATTCGCTCAGTTAACAAAAAATTTAATGAAAAGAAGTAATCCTGAAAAGATACCATTTTTAATCGCAAATTTCTTTTAATAAACACTTTAGGTAGCATTTTATTTTTTTCATGAATAATTTTACAATGCTTCGACTAATTCATTTTTATTCATAGATTTAAAAAAAAAATAAGTATTTGAAATTTTTCTACTAGCTATTTTTAATTCATTGAAAAATTTTATTATTTTTTTATAAGACTTTCCATTATTACTTATTATTATTTTGCGCTGACATAATGAACGGCTGTTTATCTAGACCTATTGAGCGCCCATAATGCCGTAGTTTAAAAATTGACTAATTATTACATTTATCTCGCGCTCACTGATCCACTTTTTGTCCTGTAATTCTCGAGAAAAAAGGTAACACTTCATAACTGGTTTAATAATTTTAAAATGATTATGTTCTATACAGATATAGTTAATTTTATGTTTGGGAACATATATTTCAATTTTAGACTGTCTCGCCTGTAGCTGGGGCCTCACGGTTTCCTGAAACAACGATACCTGGAAGGAATCTAAAACTAATTACCTATCCCCAGATGCCGTTTCCAAAGAACAGCTTGGCAAATACACCTATAAATGGTGATATAAAATACATTAACAGCATATGTGAAAATCTACCTAATTAGGAAACGTTTTTCAATTATTGTCAACCCTCCTATGAAAATGACTATATAATATTGAGGGACTCTTTTTCTGTTCTATTTTTTTTTTTTAGTTGTAATAGTTTTTTAAGATCTAGATACAAGCGAATCTACGGGAGGGAGGTGTTTTCGGACCTGCTCCCCCTAACAAAAATGGTAAAATATTATCATGTTTTATGGAAAAAATATAAAAAAATTATCTCTTAAAGTATTATTGTTGTTCCTGTAATTACATTTAATAGGAGTTGAAGAATCAATTAAACACCATCTCATATTGGTAGCTAGTTTCTATCTTTTTTTCCAAAGTAATTATGGTTGCATATGTATGAAAAAAAAGGCTTTCGGGCTGAAGCCCTCTCTCAAAATTAAATCCTGGAAGTACCAAGTATGTTACTCAAATTGAATCACTATTGAGAATTAAATCACTACTTCAATTAATCGTGGGCCACCAACTGAAGTAGTAATTAAATCTTTTGGTACTCAAAAAAGGTCAGTATTTGAGTAACATACCTATTATTTAATAGTAGCATTTGCCCATATCTGGGGCGGAGTCCAAGATTATTCTCAAATCTTGTCAAACATACCATATTTTTTGTAATGATTTGATTTGTTTTACATTCTTTCGATCACGTTGACTAAATTCGATTCTTGTTTGTTATTTTAAAAACAAAATACTTCATACTCTCAAATAGGCTCTTCCGGGAGTTGTTTACCTCTACTTCCATTACGATAATGTATTTGACAATGGCAATGAATTCCACTTATAACGAATAAGAACTTTTTCTAACTTAAAATATGTACCATTACAATGGCTTTTATAAAAGTTCTAATCTCCATATATTTTTTTCTCTTAACCGAACAGAATGGTTTCAATATTTCTGTTTTAGTAAAAATCACCCCGTGATTTTTCATTGAAGTAAATTTAAGTAGTTGAGGAAAAACATAAATAAAAAAATAATTATTTTATGACAAAGATTTACTTTTGAACATATTAGGAAAAAAAGTGTTTTCTAATTCAATATAATTACTACAAGTACCATATTTGACATGATTTAAACCTTATTCCATTCTGACTCTCAATCCAGAAACGGTTTGAGGTGGAAATTTATATTAAGAAGTAGTCTCTCGCCAACTTTTTTTTTTAAATTGTATGAGTAGATAATAATAATAAATTATATACTTGAATTGCATTCTGAAAAATATTTAAAAAACAGTTAAGGATCAAATTATCGATACATAATGGATACAGTTTTGACTCGCTTTCATTAAGTTCATTTTTTAAACTGAGAAATTTTTGATGATTAATACCATGACTTCCCTTACCTCCTGAGATAGATTGATTGATACATTGAAGTTCTAAAGTCCCGTTGAAATTATTGAAAAAGTTATGTTAGGTACTACATTTACTATTTTTACTAGTGTTTAGATAGCTTCATTAAAAAAAAAAAGAAGAAGAAGTGTTTATGACCCCTGTTGCAGTTTACTTCCTTTCCTATTGAAATGAAAACAACAGATGGACAAGAGAGTTCTCATTTTCCACCGAGCAATATTTTTTTCCTGTTTATATTCGCGCCTTGCTTCTACTGCATCTTGCACTGACTTGCTTTGTTTGCATGTTTAGTTCAATTTATGTAACAAGTAATTTACGTTTTTCTGATTAAATCTTTGCCTTCGGTAATTTTTAAACTCCTCTGTCAAGTAGTTTTATTGCTTTTGTTGTATATGTTTTATTATATAGTCGTTTGCAATTTATTTCTAAATTTAATTTCGAACTTCAAAATCGTTTCTGTGTAATGCTGTGGATGTTCATTAGAAAACCATGCCATAGTTGAAAGAGGAGAGTTGTTCGTAAGTTTTCTCCATCGAATTCATTGAAATTATATAATTTTAATTATTATAAATCAATTTCCGCTCTATTTCTAATCCAACAAGCTTTGGAAAACACAACGAAATCGACCTTGTGAATCTTATTTTTTTTTTTTAATCTGTTTATTGAATAATAATACAATCAGCCACTGCTGGAGGGCTATAAGCATTAGGGCTAAAAGTTCTCATTCATACAATATATACAAATAATAAAGAAATAAATATAAATATAAGAAGTGAATAAATAATACTGGTGAAGAAGTTAAATAAAAATAAAATAAACAAATAAAATAAAATAAAAACTTCTAAACACAATCATACCTATATACAATATATACATTCGCCCAAGAATCTCCGAGCCAGGCTTTTTCGCGCCACTTTTCCAGCCGCATCACTAGTATTAGAAGTGAATCTTATAGCTTGATACATGTATGTTCTTACTACTGGTGGGTGCTTATGGGACCATAAAAAAGTAAACAAGTGTGTAGAGAAGGAGCCTTGGGTTCTTTTATGAATGAGGGAAGACCGATTGCGTCGGCGCTTAAGAATTTCTTAAAATATAGTTCGGTTCTAAATTTAGGATGGAAAAGTGGCTAAATGTAGTCGTGGACAGAAAGGTATGTATTGCGTAGGAAGTTGTCTGCTTTAATATAAACAGATTGGTTGCCAGGGCGCCTTCCGACCAACAGTTTTGATATCTACAATTAATACATCATTGGAACTATCGATATTTTTGGAAAATTGACGGCCCATATCTGCCGAGCAGTCCTAGCAACTGTACAGCTCCGGAAAAAGTTTCAGGCTGAGTTGTATTGTACCAACCTTACGGCGGCGCCTTCAGTAATAAATATTAATTAGGAAACTTCAAAATGTTCGTTTGCCAACACCTGATACAATGGCTTTCCGCCATGTTTACTTTAATAGACCCCGCAACGGGTAGTATCACGTCCTTCTACGTAATGGGAAGAACATTACTGTTTTCTTGTGGATTTCTCTCATGCCCAAAGTATTGCTAAGTCGGCACGTTAAGTGGTTCTTCACTGTTAAAATTCAGTTTGTATTTTGTGTATTTTTTTAGTGTGAATAGATGCGTATTTGGAGTAACGAGAAAAGTGTCGATCATAGATTTTAAATAAACTTAGTATTATCGATTTATTTTCAAATTACTGTTAACTGGCTGTACTTATGAGTGTTATTTGCCCTATAACAATCTTAAAGATGTATTTAGTAAGTAGCAAACTATATTTTATCACTTTTAAAATATTTCTATGATATTAACTCGTGGAATATTGAACCTTTGACAAGTGTTGAATTTATTTTAAGAATTTTAGGCCTCTGTAGGCATGGACAACGTCCTAAAGATTTGTGAGTATCTTACTGAATATTGTGAATTAACTGATTTAAAGCGCTTATTAAATCTGAAGACATCTTAAATACTCGAAATTTTAATTCATGTACGTTATGAATTACGGAATTTACGATACACATATTCATATAGATTATGTTATGTACATAAACAATTCAGCAGGGAATATTTTTAAATTCTCGGGATGGAAGGTATTTATTACTGAATTGTTCAGTTTCTAATTGTATATTATTTGATAACCAAAGTGATTAGACGAAATGTTCATGACCTCTCCAACCATTCTTGTATAAAAACAATTGATTAGTTCACAAAATTAAAAGTAATTTATATTTCCCAAAGCACTAGTGTATCTAGGAAAGGTGGGCCTCTCTCCTCCCTCTAGAAGTTAGAAAAATAGTTCCAAAAACATTTCCAAAAAGCAGCTATTTAAAGAAAAGAGAAATATAGGGAACATTAATCCTCATAGATGAACTTCCTAATGTAATATAAAAAAAGTATAATCATGACCCGCACATGGCGCTAGTATAATCATGGCGCTCCCTCCCTTGGATGGTGGAAAAAAAATCCCTAAACAAAAGTTTCAAAACGCAGTTATTTAAATAAAAGAGAAATATAGGAAAAATTCATCCTCTAAGACGAATTTTCTATTGTGATATAAAATATAAAATAAATTATTATCGTGACCAGTACTAGCGGATCCAGCCGGGTACGTTTTTGGCAGTAAAAAGTTTTCTCTTGGTGACCCGTGTTAGCAATTATGTTTTTTACATGTCTAAATTCATATACAGTGTGTACCGCAAGTAGAGGGAAATATTTATAGGAGTGATAGCAGAACTCAAGAACTGCAAAAATGTTTATATAAACAATGCTTCGATTTTCAGTAGGGAAATAAGAAATGAAAGTGTTGTGATTTTTTATGTAAATCACGTTTTTGATTGAATATAAATTGATAACTAAAAAACTATTTAATCTAAGTAATTAACGATTGCTTCACTGTAAACTAGACAAAATTTACTTTAAAATAAAATAGAGTTTGCTTGTCTTAGAACCATTTAAAGGAGACTTTTGAGCGGGCAAACTCAGATAAGGAGTGGGGACAAATGGGTAGGGGTGGGAAGCATCTGGTACAGAGCTGCTCCCCTCCCCACCCCCGAGAAAATTCCTGGATCCGTTGTCCCAAAGTCTGTTCAATTACTAAGTATTAAGAATCTTAAATTTTCTTCTGGATTAGGAAGTAGTGTTTCTTTTTCAACTTTAATGCAAGGCGATGATGTGGTCAGCACCCATGCTCAACCTCTGAATTTCTACCTCCAACTACAAGCCATACCTCCATTGATGGGTCAGGTACTCTCTTTATTGTTTACAGAGTTGGTTCTCCCCCCTCCTCCTCCCTGCCACCCTCCTGCTATCTTTGTATGAGCCTTTCCATAATCAGAATCTATCCATGGATGGCAGAACAGAAAATAAATTTTCTGGGTGACCTCAATCCATTGCAGTGCTTTATAATCTATTAAATTAATTATACATGATACTTTAATTTATTTTCTTGCAAATAATATGGCATTATATTTTATACTTTATCATATATTATATAAACAGATTAAAATAGTTAGAAATGATGTTGAATGAATTTATTCTAAATCATAATTTTAAATGCTACATCTTTATAATCCAATGGATTTTGTTTTAGGTGACTCTGATGTATTCATACATTCCACGAGGCAACTGGACTTCCGGATGCGAATAGGCAGCCGAGCGAAAGTCGAGCGAGCGACCCTAAGGTTTTTGGTGTCAGGAGGGGAATGCTCACATCTTCAATTTTACCAGCTACGGGGAGCAAAGAAGATTCATCTAGAAACTATTAGGCCACATCAAGAGCTGTTACCGCAGTGGACAAGCATCGAAGTAATACCAGACCACAATCGGATAAACATATTGATAGATGCACCGAAATGTCGGATCTTTAGTCCTGCAGTTCATGTCCTTCTTAAAAGGGGGCCAAAAAGAACTCCTCGTGCTGCACACCAAAGGACTGACTGTTCAACAAACATTTACTATTCTTCAGCTAAAAAACAACGTTGTTGTCGTCACAAAATGGAAGTTGTGTTCAAGGAATTGCCTGGGTATGAATTCATTGTCCAACCTTATAGGTTTGATGCAGGTTACTGCAAAGGTGGTTGCCCTTACAGGTACAATCCTGCTAACCACCATGCTAGTCTCCAAAGCCTTATATGGAGACAGAAAAAAGGAGGAGCGCCTAAACCTTGTTGTGCTCCAAGCAAGTTAGAACAGTTAGAAATTATTCATATTGATGAAGATGATCCAAACAAACTTAAAATGACAACATGGAGTGATATGAAAGTTTTAGAATGTGCCTGTTTTTAATGTTCCTCATGAAATATTTAAGATGAGAGGAGGTTTTTACCAAATAATATTTATTTATTTATTTATTTATTTGTATATAAATGTTCGGTTTATCAGAGGTTGCACCATGTTCATTGAGTGCCTATCTTTAAGTAAAGATTGTTGTAAATTAGTTGTTTTCAACATACAAGGCCAAAAACATTTGCAATGATTAAAAATTCCTTTATAGCTAGCTACATTGTGAATGTATATGTTATTTATATGTAATTTGGATTATTAATGTTATTATTAAGTTGGAGTGAATGTGTTTGTGTGTCTGTATATATGTTACCATAGTTTAGTCCGATAATAAACTAAACACTTTTCGTTCAGAAGCTTTCCATTTGAAATGTTCACCAAATGGGATTTTAGACAATTTTTTCTTCAGATTGATTAGGTTGATAGCAGGGCTATTAATTTTTAGATTAGTGAGAATTTTTATAATTATTTTACATTTCTGAACCATTTATAAACATTGTTGATGACCCTAATGTTTTAAGGACTAAAAAAGTTTATTATTATGTCTTTTATTTTTTGATTAGTTTGACATTAAACAACTTTTAAAAAACTTATGTTGAATATTTAGTGATTTATTTGATCTGATTTTGGTTTATTTATCAAGTTTTCTCTAGTTCCAGAAGTGTTCTCCAGAATGGTTCAAAATAATCAGTAACAACCAGAAAAATATTACACTATCTCCATTTGTATATTTTAAGAAACACTTATTTTTGATTTGTCATTATTAATAAGTTCTGATTTATAGTAGAACTTGGATCTAATTTTATTATTATTACATGTTGAGGATCAAAAAATGCATATGTGTTTTATGAAATTACTTCAGTAAATTAAGAACTTCATTGTTGATTATAGTCCTGGATAATTGAATATAAATACTCATTTAACGATAACTACCTCTTTTGTTTTTTCCTTTTGTATTTTGAAATTGTATATTTAAAACTTATGGTATTTTAGTTTATTTTTTTAGCTATGATTTTTCTATTTATTTTTTTTAATTCGAATTTGAGGAGATGAATATTTAGTGTATTAAAAGATGTACCTGATGATGAGAAATGTTTATAATAAAACTGTTATTTTATAGCCTTGTTATCTTATTATTTGTATTCCTGTGAGTGTTTAACTATCCTTGCTAGAGATATTTTCACTATTTCAAGAACAAGACAAAATGTGTTTCTGTGCATTTTTAGAAGTTTTAAATGCATTTATGAGTATAGTTAGAAGTTTTAAATGCATTTTTGGATATAGTTAGAAATTTTAAATGTAGATAAACTGTTGAGAAATGCCTTTATTTTAAATTGTGAGTATAATAAAGCTTGAATCAATAGTAAACTGTTTCAAAATGAAAGATATTGTTGATTTAAGCCATTACCTAAATTAAAGTTGTTAATTGTTCATTTTTGAATTTGTTTTCATACTAATTAGTTGAAGTTTTGTAATGTATATATTTTTAAAAAAATTCTGACTTAAAATTGAAAGGACATTTTGTTATTAAATCACAACTTAGATGGTCTTAAAATCTGGATATTGTAGACACTATGCTTTTTAATGGTTTATTCTTTATTCTAACAATCTCTAAAATATTAAATCTAACAAGTAACTAAAATATTAGTTACTAATAACCAGTAGTAATAAGCAATCGGTAGTCAGATATGTTTCTACAAACATTTGCTAATGATTAAACCGTTATGTCATTTCATTTAAATACTATTAGAGCAATGTTGGACTGCAGATACTCTGTTCTATGAAATAAGTAATAGAACAGTGGATGGCAGATTAAAAATATGAAATTGATCAAAAACTATTTGTGTAGCCTTTAGTTCTTGTCTAACAGTCCTTCTTAATATCATTCATTACCCATATCTGAAAGTGGATTTTTGCTTCATCCTAGTGGAAGACATTTAATATTTTTACTCCAGACTGAGATGGCATGATATATTTTACTATATAGAGATTTAAGCAAAATAGATTTTATTTCATTCCACAATGAACTTGTCATTTATAGGACTATCCTCAGACCATTATTGATTATTAAAGTATTAAAAATGAAGGGGAAGGTGTCCTTGACCAGCGCACTGCGCGGCGTTGGTTTGAAGAAAAAATAGCAGTCCAATACGACGTTGGAAAGGAAGAAGGGCTCCTGAGGACCATTAATGGATATTGATGAGGTTCTGCAGGAAGCTGTTATGTCAAATCCTTCTACAAGTACTCGCGAATTAGATAAGGAGTGTGGTGTGTCGAAAGATACTATTAATCGCCATCTACTCTCCATGGGGAAGGGGAAAAAGAGCAGTAGACTGGTCCCTCACGAACTTACTCCTCAGCCATCAGCTATTATGTTGGAAATTTTCGAAAATTTAATGAAAACCCTTCTGATATGAGATTTCACCGGAAGATCGTCACCTGTGATGAAAAGTGGGTTTACTGACGAAATCCGAATACCCGTGAGAAATGGCTAGATTGCGGTCAAACTGCTTTTCCGATTGCTGCAAAGAGGCAATTTGAAAAATAAAAAAAATCCATGCTCTGCGTTTTTTGGAATTTCGAAGGTATTATTAATCACGAATCCGTTCCTGACGGATGCTCTGTGAATTCTGAACTCTACTGCGAACAACTAGAAAGATTGTACGCAAAGTTGTCTGAGTGTTATTCTGCTTCGATCAACCGAAAAATAATTTTATTCCAACAAGACAATGGTCGTCCTCACACCTCCCGTCGAACCAAAGAAAAGTTAAAAGAATTTCATGCAAACTCCTGCCTGATCCACCATATATTCCAGACCTCGCACCATCGGATTCCTACTTATGTAGATCCATGGCTCATTTTCTTCAAGGGAAAAAATATGATAATTTTGCGGAAATTTAAATTGCGGTCCAAAAGTTCTTTGACAGCCATCCCAAAGAGTGGTATCAGCGTGGGGTCGAGTAATTGAATAGCAGATGGCTAATGATGGTAGATAACAATGGACCATATTTTAAGTATTAATTGCATTTTATACGAAAGAAATAATAATACATATATTTAGATGAAAAACGGAGATTTTTTTTATACACCCTATTATTTCATGTAAAGGTGAGCAAAAGTAACAAGTTACTAATGAAAACGAGTCTATTTTTTTAATGGTTGTTATTCTATATTATGTTTAATGTAGAAAAATCATTTTCTTATTATACAAATATTTCAAACCGTAGAAAATTAGGTTTTTCAGGAAACAATCTAGAATTCATTTTATAACTTTAATGTAGAACATGTCGCTCAGTATCCCATTTGTGTTTTATTTTATTTGTCAGTTAAATAATAATTAATAGCTATAATTTCCTTTTATTACTTGCATTGGTTTATGAAAAAAGAAAATAAGTTTTATAAAAAATCATATTATTTTTATTTAATTTTACCTGATTTTTTTTTTTAATTTATGACTGTTTGTAGGCTTATTAGAGGAACTAAATATTCTAGCTGTATAATTGTATATTTAGATATTTTGCTGCAAATTGTATATTTGCACATTTCGAGAAGTGCACCGATCCACCAAAAAATATATTTACTGTGTATTGAAAGCCGAGTCCTAACCTCTTGATGTTATTTACTAGAATGAAGTCAGATATCTTTTATAAGGGTATGATGTTCCCAATTTACTATTTGTATCTTTAGACCTAACTGGTGCCATGCAGGGGAAAAAAGGATAGGAATGGAAGTTTATTCCAAAAATGTATCTTTTTGTGATTTTAAGTATCATAAATCTATATGCAAATGTTGCATATATATATATACAAAATATCTTGGATGGAGAATGCTATGTGTACTTTACAAATGATTCTATTCTTTTATATAATAGCCAAACCAATTAAATGGGTAAGTACTAAATGGATACTATGATTTATCTGGTGAGTTGATGGAATAGTCTGCTGCGCTGATGCCCACTAGATCATCTTCATCGTCTCTCCAGAATCATCTTTAGACTGCCTCTACTGGCCACTTGCATCGGGCGGCAACTACCATCATGTTTCTGCACTTAACTGCATCTACATATTTTAAATTCATGAAATATATTTTAATTCGCACACCAGCCTCTACGATACATAGCACTAGTTTCGTCAAAGGTATTAATGTAATGTAGAACATATGGTCACTCAATAATGTATTATCGTCTCTGATTTTGACAACTTTTTTTTCCATCAAAATAATTTTGAAGGACTTATTATTCTTATAGTTATACCTAAAAACATTACATCCATTCATTCAAAAAATACATTCATACAATGAGAATGGTATCACAAAGTTGAAGGAACAAAATGCAAAGGTGTATGTTTGAAATCTAAAAGGCTAAATTTTTGTTATGGTTGGATTTCACACCTAGTGCTAATGTTTTGTCTTTCTTTTTATTACAATAGGTAAACCAAAATTATAGTTAATTCAAAAAATAAAGAAAGCTGGAAAGCAACATTGTCGTCCAACATTCCAGTTTGTCTCCTGAAACGAAAGACTTCTTGACAAATAAATATTTCATTCTTCTTAACGGGGATTTCCGCAACGAAAAATTGATTTATTCATGAGCACTAAGAATTGATTTATCGTTAAAATTGTATATTTTCAAAGATAAATAAATTGCTAACTTAAAGACGGTGCTGTGTTTGTATTACGAATAAGATATGTTCAGGAAGTCATATTAAGATAAGTTGTAATGATAATGATGAATATCTGCGTTAGGAACATTGTTTGGTTTGCAGAATACACAATAAAACAGCTGTAAAAAGGATAGTCATAATAAACCAAACACATATGGTAATAACAAAGCGTAATAGGCTAGTAAATAAAATGATTTAACATTCACCCACTGAGGAGCTACTGTGCTATGGTGCGATGTACTGGCCAAAGGTAGCATGTTATAAAGCGAATACTTGACTGGTGGGGAGCTTCTGATGGCTAAGCAACCAAGCAGCCTCGAGGTTAGCCTATGTGCAATTTTAGGCGATAACCATCATCAAGCTTCACAATATAGGGTAACCGCCTCTGTTTTCCTTCAATTGTTCTAAATTTCACACTTCCTTATTTTTCGTATCTAATTTCACTAGCATTCTCTGTCCCACGCTCAATGGACGGCATCGAGAATGATCTTGTACTTGAGTATCTTGCCTGGGTGGAAATAGTGCATCTAATTGAGCGATACCTAAAGATCATAACTTGTATTGTTCGTTCCTGTTGGGACTGATTGTGAAATAGTAGAATAGTATTTGAAAGTGATAGATTTTAACTTCTTCTTTATGATTTGAGCGTGACATTCAGCAAATCTATTCGTAGATGGTATACTAAAGTTATAAATTATTCCATAACTCCTACAAAAATTCTTGTTTAATTCACCAGTGAAAATGATTTCATTGTCACATACTACTTTTTTTCGAGAATACGTGGAAGATGAAGACGTCTTGCAGGTGCTTGATAGTTGATTGTAATGATGGAACATCTTTTGAAAAGCATACCTCTGAAATGCGATGCCATTTTGACTAGGCATCAATGAGAATGAAGATGTGGCAGTTCTTAACGGGACCTGAATGGCCAATGTATACTGTTTCAAAATTTTCTTTAGGCACTTCTCGGTGACGTATAAGGGCTTTTGGAGGATTATTAAATGCTATGACACAGTCTTGGCAATTTCTACCCAATCACTGAATAAATGTTTCCATGTTTTCCTAGTAGCAATACCTTCGAATGAAATGCTTCATCTTGACAAAATGCCTAGGTGGGTATGATCATAAGCGCAGACTTTCCATTCTGGTTTGAAGGGGGCGATGGACTCCCCTCTCTAAAAAAGTCTCGAGAGTTTATATTGTCTATAAAATTATGATTGATAATTAACATAATCTACTTAATTATTTTAAAACGAAAAATATAATATTATATA